AGACGTGTAACATACCAATATACAACTAGTCTTCACCAGTCATTCCTTTCTGACCCCAAACTTAACATTGCAAAGATCTATCTAGTATTGCTGCTGGAATTCATATTTGACTTTAACGACTAGATCTTAGTGTTACATGTAGCTGAGCTTCCACTAAAAATAGAATAATTAGAGCTGTGTGTGACTAATATTACATTATTTTTCTTGGACATTAGAAGCTTTTTTTAGCCACTTTGCAAAAATGGAAAAAAGTCATTATGAAAAGTTAAAAAAAATTTAGATTCATGTAGAAAATTGAAAAATGCTACTGAAAAACATACATTGATGTGTATGTTTCTGTGAATGATGGCATGCTTTTAAATTGATGGCCATTATTTCTCAGAGTATTTTATGGTTTGAAATTTAGTCAGCCATTGCTGTCGAGATTGACATAATTTGCATTAGTCTAATGTACATGCAAGTCACCACTGGTGAGCTTCCACAAAGTGACAGTCGTGGTTAGGATAGTTGAAGATTAGCAGCTCATTTAAATCCAATTGAGCTGACTCAAAGAGGCTAAGACATGACAACAAATGTGTTTGCTGGTGATTTGTAAATTTTAGCCACTATAACATCATCTAATTAGATTCTGTGAATATAAAAGTTTTTGCTCTCCTCCACAAATATTCGATGCACTCAGGCATAAATTACAGCTGAACTACATATTTTGCAAAGTTTTTCGTGATTTTAAATTTATACAAGAAAGTCATCACAGATGGATCATGATAGGCATCTTTTATACAAGCACTGGAATAGTGTTTCAGATATGACCTCATATAGACACATAATGGTAATCACTATATCCCAATCCAGCACTATGTGCCAGGGATAATAATACTGGCCCTTTTTAGTAGATACAAGTGTTAAAAGAACTAAGACAGCTGGAAAATGAAATTTAATATTTCAGCTATTTGCATGTTATTACCATCAATGCACATGTCATGACACAAATATGTCACATGACATTTCACAAGATACTTACTCATTTGATACAACAATGGAAATTTCATCTCAGTATGACATGGATTTTAAAAAAAAAATAGCTCATTGGCGTTTAACATATTTAGGTAGGATTAGACATTCATCATAAACCTGGTTTTACCTTGCGGATAATCCAAAGTGACCTGTGAGGGATGAATCGTTCTTATACATTGGTTGTAATATACAGGTTACACAGACAGTCAGTATCAGATACTACCTCTTCGGGAAACTCTGTAAACTTTTTTTTTTACATATAAATGTCTTGTATAAACTTCCGGTCCCTTACTGTGGGATTATCAAATGATCAAATCTCAGTTTTGTCAAAATCCCCACTGTGGAATCGAATCTCATATTCGCGAGTTACAATGCATTTAAAGATCTCTGAAATGCAACTGATGTATCACACTTTATTATTTCTCTTATTGCCATGGTAGCATAGGATGATGAAGGCAAAGAAAATTCCACTTTGACAGCTTTAAACTTGCCATCTGTAAAAAAAATAAAAAGATAAGTTTGTTTTAGAAAATAAAGATGATTACTGACCTAACACCAATACCAATTACACCAATGACACTGCCACTTTTACCAATGATCCTGGTCACTGCCACTATGCAGTAACACAATCTGACATTAATGTTCAAGCCGCTGACTACATCTGATCAGCAGCCAACCAGAGGTTTTGTTATAGATGTAGTTTAGAGGCGTGTACACCAGCAGCCATAAACTGGTGATCCTAAATTGAAAGAACCAGAGCCTTTCACCAGTGACACTGACCAATGAATCACTCAGTGTCAATGATGAGTAATTAATGATAAAATAAATAATTATATTAAATATACCAACAACTAAAAATATGGCATAGTGTCTGTACTTACTTGGTTTGGATCCTGGTTCTGACAGTGTGCTGTCTTCTAATTTATTTAAATCTGATAGTGCCAGTGGAATAGTCAGATCATCATAACGAATTATACTCCTTGGATTAAAAGAGAGTCTGATTAGTTTGATTGATTTTATGATATTTTTATGAACTGTGTGAAGACTAGAGGCAGTGAATTAACTATCCTTGTGATCACATAAGGTTAGTGTTGCTTTGAAAAACAATGTCATGTTATGTTTTGCCCTGTGGTGGCACTATATGCTGAACAACCCTTTTTAGCTAAATTATCAACAATCTCATTGTGGGAATATACTTTGTTATTTTGTTAAATTAGCTACATAGTGAATTAGATAGGGTGCATAATCCCTGCTAATTTGAATAGAAGTGCTAGTGTAAAATATCAGTTAAAAAAACTGAATGATTTTTTTATCCAAGAAATATTTTATAATTTGGGATTATTTTTTCATAATATGTATTCAGTATAACTTTATGAATATCTGTGCAAAACGATAGACAATTTTTCTGGAAGGCAAATTTGAATATACTTGAATCTCAGACCATTGGCAACACTATTGTTCAGAGGTGTCTATCGACCTATCGGCGTTCCACGCGAACGTGCGTCTCGGTTACGTTTTGCCGAATGGAGAGTACACACAATGGGAATCCTTGGTCTTGCTTGCATTTCAGTCATTCAGTTCAAATCCGATCAGCCGGAAACTAGAGAGTTTTACGTTGAGTTGCCGAATAATATATTTTTTAGCCAGAATTGCATGACCATATTCTAGAAAAGTAACGATTATTTGAATGTATAGACTATCTTCATAGTAATTAAGAAAAAGGAACGACTTATTGTGACACAGCAAATTTTCTGATAGTTTTTGATTTTTCTAGGATAGTTCATGTCGCCATGTTTACAACAAAGCTGGTTTTATGTTATTATATTTTATCATTCATGTATTAAAAAGCCATTGAAAATATGATACATCAAGGCGAAAATTGTACCAGTCAACTAAATCTAGAAAAATTAATATAACAGTCTCAAAATAGTACTGATGCGATGTTTTGATTTTTTACAAGTGTGCAGCAACGTTGCATCGAGAGAATGCTTATTACTTATTTCCACTGCTATTTAGTTTTGACTGCAACTGAATTTTATATTCTATTGTTACCCAGACCTGTTTCATGAATGTAGACCCGCGAGAATCACTAACAAAGAAAATATAAAACTTTGGTCTGACCTTTCGCGTCACTTCCTGTTGTAACGCCATAGTTTCTTGCGTGTTATCGTGTCACCACAAGGACATTTTCTTATCTCCCCCAGTTGTTTTTAAAATTAAAACGTTATCGCAAAAGTAAACACGAGAAAAACATTAGATCAAAAGAAATAGCCGTGTTGCCAGTCTGTTTATTAATGGTCTGAGCTTGACTACATTTAAAACAATTGGTTACCAATAATTTTTAATTGTAGAAAATATAATTCTCAAAAACCACCTCATTATTTTGATAAACAAGCAACCTATCAGCTGAGATAGCTCCGCTGTTAGCAATGCACATTTCAATTAAAGAACAGAAGATATCATTAGAAAATGAATAATATGTATAGTATTAAAGCAATCGGACTTGCTGTTTTCAACAAGAATTTGAAAATATCACTTTTTACCAAAAATGACAAAAATATTCATCAAAATTACTGGTAGAGAATTGAAGATATCATCACGAAATGAACAAATCTGAGAACGGTTCACATGTAGTACCTATATATGTAATATCAAAGCAATTGGACTTGCGGTTTTCAACAAGAAGTTGAAAGTATCACTTTTTACCAAAAATGACAAAAATATTCATCAAAATTAGAGAATTGAAGATATCATCATGAAATGAACAAGTCTGAGAGAGGTCCACATGTAGTACCTATATATGTAATATCAAAGCAATTGGAATTGCGGTTTTTGACAAGAAGTTGAAAATATCACTTTTTACCAAAAATGACAAAAATATTCATCAAAATTACTGGTAGAGAATTGAAGATATCAAAATATTCACCAAAATTAGAGAATTGAAGATAAGATCATGAAATGAACAAATCCGAGAGAGGTCTACCCAAGGTACATATACACCAAGTATCAAAGCATTCAGGCTTGTAGTTTTCAAGAAGAAGTCAAAAAAGTAAAACATTGACATGGACGACTGACGCAGGACGACGACGGACAATCACTCATATGATAAGCTCTGCTCGACAAAGTCGACAGCAGAGCTAACAATTACTATAAGAATACTACAAAGTGTGAGAATAGTGTTCTAAGTAATTTGTGTTTTACAAAACACAAAATAAAGAATACTTACCAGTCTGAATCAGTGCTTTTAACAATAATCTTACGATAGTTACCAGTCAATGAATAATCTCTGAAAATAGAAACATGATAAGAAACATAATATTCGTCCCAAATTTAAAATGTTTACTGTTAATTTGCTATTTGCTAATGGTATTTCTTCTGATAGACTTTACCTGACTTTGTGTTTCAATCCATCTATATGAATATTATCTTTCATTAGCATTTCTTTATACCAGTCTGCAACTAATTAAAATTATGACACACTATATAAATATCATAACCAGGTAGTGGTAATACAATGTAATAACAGTATTACCTTCATTGTGTGGATAAGTACCGGTAATATCATAGCAAGGTAGTGGTAATACAATCTAATAGCAGTGTTACCTTCATTGTGTGGATAAGTAATATCATAGCCAGGTAGTCACTAGTGGTAATACAATCTAATAGCAGTGTTACCTTCATTGTGTGGATAAGTGATATCATAGCCAGGTAGTGGTAATACAATGTAATAACAGTGTTACCTTCATTGTGTGGATAAGTAATATCATAGCCAGGTAGTGGTAATACAATGTAATAACAGTGTTTCCTTCATTGTGTGGATAAGTAATATCATAGCCAGGTAGTGGTAATACAATGTAATAACGGTGTTACCTTCATTGTGTGGATAAGTAATATCATAGCCAGGTAGTGGTAATACAATGTAATAACGGTGTTACCTTCATTGTGTGGATAAGTGATATCATAGCCAGGTAGTGGTAATACAATGTAATAACAGTGTTACCTTCATTGTGTGGATAAGTAATATCATAACCAGGTAGTGAAATACAATGTAATAACAGTGTTACCTTCATTGTGTGGATAAGTAATATCATAGCCAGGTAGTGGTAATACTATGTCATATATACTATAGTCATTGATATTATCTTGGGTCAGTAGAGTAACATCTTCTGTGATCAAAACACAAATATCAATCATGGTAGTTTTATCAATGAAATCGCTAATGGAATTTAATGCACATATTACTAGCCATAGTCATAATAAATGCTGAAAACAGAAATCTGAGCTTACTTTCTTTTCATAACTGTGTTCAGGAGAGCCATTTTTAGCTTCCCTTATGACCATTTTTGAAAAGATGTCACTCTCTCTCTCTGTCATGAAAGGGAGGGCCAACCACAGTGCATAGATGCTTAAGATGTGTAGTCTATGCAGAATACTATAAAACTATTTATTTTCACTGGCAATTAATTTCACTAATTGTTTTGAGAAATTTCACAAACTTAGCAGAGAAAGAGAGTTATATAGTTATTTTACATGTTCACATCGATTCAATGTAGTAGATTTTACTTATCTATGAAAAAAGCAAAATTAAAATCCAGTAAATAATAAATGCATTTACTGTTTCTTCTATTGTATGTATGTATGAATACAAAAACAGATATGTTTTCATACAGCCACATCACTGTCATGATACTTACTGGAATTATTCTTTTGCACCAAATCCCCAATTATGGGCTTCATACCATAAGACTTTATACGTCTACTAAGAATGCAATTCCAAATGTAGCTTTGATAGCTATGTACATACATTAGTCTTGTACCTTTTGGTATCTGAAAAATAAACAATAAAAATAACACATGTCGACATCATGGTCAGTTATATTAGTGTTATGTTAACACATTGACAACCAATAAGTTAACATGTGTTTGTATGTGATATTAGTGTTATGTTAGCACATTGACAACCATTAAGTTAACATGTGTTTGTATGTGATATTAGTGTTATGTTAACACATTGACAACCATTAAGTTAACATGTGTTTGTATGTGATATTAGTGTTATGTTAGCACATTGACAACCAATAAGTTAACATGTGTTTGTATGTGATATTAGTGTTATGTTAGCACATTGACAACCAATAAGTTAACATGTGTTTGTATGTGATATTAGTGTTATGTTAGCACATTGACAACCATTAAGTTAACATGTGTTTATATGTGATATTAGTGTTATGTTAGCACATTGACAACCATTAAGTTAACATGTGTTTGTATGTGATATTAGTGTTATGTTAGCACATTGACAACCATTAAGTTAACATGTGTTTATATGTGATATTAGTGTTATGTTAGCACATTGACAACCATTAAGTTAACATGTGTTTGTATGTGATATTAGTGTTATGTTAGCACATTGACAACCATTAAGTTAACATGTGTTTGTATGTGATATTGGTGCTATGTTAACATGTGTTTGTATGTGATATTGGTGCTATGGCCAGTGTTGTGTTAACACATTGACAACCATTAAGTTGTGTTTGTATGTGATATTGGTGTTACTCACTGCATAGAGGACTTTCAGTGGATCTTTGTCACCATATTTATCAAGTGCTTTAAGTAATGAGTATTCTAAGTAGTATGATTTCACATTCTTTAGTTTCTCCAGAGTAGATTTAGCATCCTTCGTCTGCCACCAATGTTTTCGTACTTCACTCATATCTTCAGAATCTGTAAAATAACTCTGATCATCATTATAATTTCAACAAAGCAAAATTTCTAACACTTAAAAAACAATATTTTCTTGGAGAAAATGGGAGGGGGATTTCATGAAAATAATCATCTAATTTACATAATTAATATTCATGAGCAATGGAAAAATCATAACAAGTAGCACCAAACTGGTGGTCAGTTAAATTCTTTTGCAATAGACACAATTGTATAGCCTGTTTATTTCAATGTCATGTTTCAAAGTTTCATTGAGGAATATTCTATAATGAAATTACTGTTTTCATCTATGATTTCATCTATCCATAAAAGGGATGTTGTTGCTTTGATGGTGATCTACAGATGACCAACAATGCCCTCTCCATTTCCCCCTCTATTTATGACAATAATACAAATAATAATAATAACAAGTAGGTCTTAACGACACACAAAATATATATAAACAAAAATATACAAATGGAATAGGGGTTGAAAATAGTTGCAACTAATCAAGTCCAGCCCCTGTGCTGTAAATCACAGATTACAAGATAATAGAGAGTTTAAGATTTGCGTACGTAACGGGAACATAACGTGATGTTCTAATTTCGTTTGCGTTACATTCTCGGGTGTCAGAAAACGATACAAGCGCCCACAACGGGAACGTAACTGAAACAAGAACCATGTCAATCCGTCTCTCATTGGGCAACAATAACTACCTAATAAAATTTGTTATGTCATTTCACGTCCGGAATCAGAATTAGTAGTTAGTTCACAGACATTTGACAGAGCTCTCGCTATTTCCATCAACTCTGCTGAGGTCCCAGGCCTGTTTGCCGACGTCTTTCAGCAGAACAATGTTATGCGTTTTCAGTGGGTATAAATATCAGCTAAAATGCATCCAATATTTTTTACTTTATCATAAATATACAAAATCACTCTAATATAAACCGTTTTATCAATGTCAGTGAAAATTAATTAAAATTGACAGCGAGAAAAGCTCTCGGAAATCAACTACGAGTCAGTCGTCTTGATCACGTTCAAAACGACAGCCCTACGACCAGGCAACCGATGACGTCATTGGTTCACGCGGAGGTCATGCACAAAGCGGTGACGTATCCGTTCTCGTTCCGTTCTCGTATGCGCATCTTAATGTCTCTACTAACTAACTGGGCGTTATGTTCACTTTAATATAAATAGAAAATAAGAATATTAGTGAGACAGTCAAAACAACCTGGTAATGCAAGGAATGCAATTAAATAAAATATTTTATTTTTTATATATTTTTAAGTTGGAAATTATGTGTAACTAGCTTGTAGGTAATTTTTGTATTCCTTTTTACTGCATGGTCTACAAGATGCTGGCCATGCCAAATCTAACAACACGTTACACCAATATAATCTTTGAATCAAATATTTAATCATGAAAGTTGATGTTATTACTTATTAATTTACTTACCGCCTTGTCTTGGTTTCAATATCAGTTCAATGGCAAGGTTCCAATCACTATGCAACAAAGCTCTGAAAGAAAGACAATAAATACATCCATCTCTATTTCAATTAAATCTGGATATTACAATGCACAGTGTCCAAAACAGGTGACTGTGTCACTATGTATAGTGTATAATACAGGTGGGTGTGTCACTATGTATAGTGTATAATACAGGTGGGTGTGTCACTATATATAATGTTTAATACAGGTGGGTGTGTCACTATATATATTGTTTAATACAGGTGGGTGTGTCACTATATGTGGTGTTCAATACAAGTGGGTGTGTCACTATGTACAGTGTCCAAAA